GAAGATATATATTAGAAGATAAGGGATTTAAATTTGTTTTTTCAAGTACTGTATTGTATAAATTATCAACATTAATTTAACCAATATATTAAAATGAAAAGTTTTAAGTATATGAAAAAAGGGGAACTGCGATATTCTGCCATGCTGGAGGATCAGTCAGGCTCTGGGACAACGTAGCGTGTCCCTTCTTGTTGTGCCTGTGTTGCAGGCCACTGGATCTGTGTAGTTCACTGAGTTTTTGGGTCGATTCTGCAACAACCTGGCACCTCCCTTGTGTCTGTGTTGAACCAGTTCAGGGTGTTGCTGTGGACTCAGTGGCCAGAAGGTGAGCTTTTGAGGAGATATTTCACAAGGAAAGGCCCATATCTTGTGAAAGTCTGAGTGCATTACAAGTGCATATCATGTGTGAAATAGCTATGTTAACTAAGGCAGAAGAGGGATATTTATTTTGGGTACTTTGCTTTACGTTAATGCTCATGTTAAAAACTTAACATGGATAAAAGTGGCAGTATTTAAGCTTGCAAACCAAACCTTTGAGACCATGGTGAGTTTTGTTCACCCCTTTTTTCCATTGTAATTTCCCATGTGTATTTGTATCCGAGATGAGAAGCTGACTGCTGGTTGCCAACGGCCAGACAGTTTCCCTTTGCACACCCCTCACTTTAATCCCCGAAACACAAATTGTCACGCTGCCGTCATCACCCTGCCATCCTGTTTGCTCTCCTAGATTAGCCGTGGGAGCACCCCTTAGCCCCCTGCCTCCAGGTCTGTGGCAAGTAGGGTGCTCCTGCAGTGAAAGCACATCAGGGAGAGCAGAAGCAAGCCAAATTGAGCAGACTTCTTTCCTAAAATAAAAATATGGGCTGGAAATCCTTCCAAAGGCTGTCATGGAATATTTTTTTTTAATTGAAATATCAGCTAATGGGCTTTAAATTTGATGGGATATCAGTTGTATGATGCTTTATCATGCTGCATCTGGCACTGTGCATGGGGCAAGGCTAGGTGGGGCACTCACAAAGCAAATCTACTTGAAGGCTCATCTACATTATCCTGGAAAATGTACTGGTACATTGAAAGCATATTTAGCTGTTGTCAGCAAGTTTATCTCGATTCTGTGGTTAGCATAAGTAGGGATATTTTCAGCAGAGGATCATGCTGGGTAATAAAAAGTTTGTATAACTTCAAAAGAGAAATAAAGGTACTTTGGCCTCTAAGTGTTTGCGTGCAAAAAATCATCAACTCAACAGTTGACTTTCCTAGTACTTAATCTCAAAGAAATGCAGTATTATTTTTGTCTTCTAAGCATGTAGATAATGAAAAATACTGTTTTAAGAATATATTTAATGTTTGCAATGGATATATATTTGAAAACTTTATAGTATATACCTTATATAAAATAAAATTTTAAATGTATTTGAGTTTATTGTAAGCACACATATCTGCATTCTTTAATTATTTTCCTGGAGAAGTTTGTTCACACTAACAATACAAAATACTTTTTTATCCTGTAGATTCTGCAGTTCATGATTTTATGTTTAATCTGACACCTTGCAACATCATGAACAAATCCACCTGGAAGGTTGCTCTTACTTGGATTCCAAGTGAGTTCCTCTTGCCTAGACAGTTATATTCTACAAATGTGAAAAAATGAATACAAGCAAAAAGCTGATGCTTTATCCTAAACGCTGAATTATTGGGTTGGCCAAAAAGTAATTTACACTCTTTTTCTGGGTAAATGAAAGGCGAGTTTTTCATGGGAAATAAAAACTATATTCAACAACATATTGTCCATTTTGTTCCATTATCTTTTGCCATCTTTCAGGCAACTTCATGATTCTGTGCTCAAAAAATTTCTTATATTTTTTGGCAAAAACCAGTTCCAAGAATGATTTAATATCCTCATCAGCAGTGAAGGTTTACCATTCAAGGTGTTTTGTAAAGAATGAAACAAATGGCAGTCTGATGGTGCCAGGTCTGACAAATATGCTGGATGTGGTAATGCATCCCAACCAAGCTGCAACAATTTTTGACGAGTGACCGAACTTATACATAGTCTAATGTTATCATGGATAAACACAACACCTTTGCGATTCACCAGTTCTGGACATTTCTGTTCGATGGCATCATTTAATTTATCCAGCTGATGACAGTACACATCTGAATTAATGGTTTGGTTCCTTGGAAGCAATGCAAAGTACACAATTCCTTTGAAATCCCACCAGACTGACAGCATCACATTCCTGTGGTGAATATCTGCTTTTGAAGTGCTTTGAGCTGGTTCATCATGCTTGCTTGATGAACTTTTTCATTCATCATTGTTGTAGATGGTCCATTTGCTATTGCCTGTTCTCATATGTTTCAAAAATGGATCATTTTCCTCATGTTTCAAGAGAGAATCACAGATGTCAACGTGCTTAATGAGATGAATATCTTTGAGCTTATGTGGTACTCAAATATCGAGCTTCCTAACACATCCAAGTTGGTTTTAATCATTTTCAGGGTTCAATTTCAATATGTTAAGATTATTTGCAACCTCTTGTGTTGTTAAAAGCCGATTGGATTTGATCAATGCCTTTATTTTGTCGTTACCAACTTCAATTGGCCTTCCTGAGGGTGGTGCATTTTTAACATCAAAATATCCAGACCGAAATTTAGCAAACCAATTCTGACACTGTCATAGTTTTAAGGCATCTTCACCATACACATCACATAACTTTTTATGAGCTTGCACAGCATTTTTTTCAGAAGTAATAAAGCAGAATATGACCAAAAAATGTTCCTTTTGATTTTCCATTTTGAAATCAATGCCAAATAAATAATTATTAACAAAATTATGCACTTTCTTTTTCTAAAACAAGCTTGTCAGCTGTCAAGTTACATAATGAATTTGCGGTTTAAAAAGAAGATAGTTACATTTCAAGACATTTATGTCTATCTATTAAAAAAATTGCAATTACTTCTTGGCCAGCCCTATATTTAGAAGATCAGTTGCTGTGATTAAAAATTGAATAAATAAAGTATAGTGATGGATGAAAATGGCAATTTGTGGAAATAAGTGTGTTTGTGTTTTACTTGTCTGAGCAGTTGCCAGAGCTCTGCACGCTAACAGGAACTGTACATGCAAATCTGAGATCGTTTAGGTACATGTGCATTTTTTGGGAAGAAGCAGGCAAGCTTTTGCATCACACTAAAACAAAATCTAACTTTATGATATTATTCAGGACAGTTTGTTTGCAACACCTGCTTAAAACTACAGGTGTGAGATTTTTCTGAGTTCTCAACTCAGTATTTATTTAGGTTAGCTGTGCAGTTGAGTGAACTCTTATCTTTGCAGTGGAAATTGAAACAGATTTTGAAATTGTTCACACAAATATTTTGTAAGACTGATGCTTTTGTTAAAAAACAGCTTTGTTTTTTAAAAATAACATAGTTCTTCATATATGTATTTTTGTTAGTTTTGGGGGGAGGTTTTAAAAAAATCATATTTCAGAGAAAAATAGTTTTTATTTAAAGAGTGTGTCTGAACATATGTTTTACCCTTCCCACCAGCTACCTTTTTTCTTACCTACAATGTCTTAACTAGGAAGTGACATCACCTTTTTCAAGATCGTCTTCAAAGTCTGGTATGATGGTGCCAAAGCCTTACACTGGAAAGAAGTCCTTTGCAGTGGAGCCGACGATGAATATGCAGTGTGTGGAACACTGAAAGGAGGTCGGTATGGAAAATATATGGTGCTTTTCCCTTGCCTGGCAGGTTCCTTCCACAACAGGGTCATAACCCACCAGCCCTTTTCACCACTAAGCAGAATTATTAAAAGACTAATTGATCATCCTGTGCAGATAGATTTTTCTCTCTCCAATCTAGACCACTTTCCCTTGCTTGGCAGGCAGCAGACTTCAAAGCAGACAGGTCTCCAGTGCCAGAATCCTGCTAAAATAGAAAATTGCCAAATTCTATGCTTTAACATTCTTGTACTACAGTTTCTGCCTGTATAAATTAGGAATAGTAATAGTCTTTATCTCATTATGACACTTTTGTTATCAACATCTCTAAAATGACATGGAAAGACTACATTTGACTGGACTGCACACAAAAGTTGAGAGGAGCAAGGGACATTACTAATATCTAGAACAGAGTTTATTTAGAGAAGTGTCTGAATGGGATTTTAAAGAGATTCTCTACACCCATATATAATGCTCTTTTATTAGAGAAGAGTCAACCCTGTTGTAGGGGCTAACCAACATAAACATGTCACAGATTCAGATTCAGAGAAGTCAGGTAGGATGTTAGACTGAAGGTCAAAAAGGCCAGGAGGGCTGTCAAAATACGCAGTTCATGTTCCTTTCTCTTCAGCTCTCTTCAGTTATCATTCAGCTGTACTACTATTACAAGTTAAATTATTGGAGTTATCACAGTAAGATGTGTCTGTAGGAGAGGTTGCAGCAGCATTGTGGTTAATTTCTATTTTCTAACATGTGGTTTAGACAAATAGACAGAGCTCTGGAAAAAGAAACAGGTGAGGGCTTTATCCCTGGAAAAGCAAATGGCTTTGGTATTGCTGCTGAGAGATACACTATATTGCTTTGATGTTATTTAGGAGGTTTGATTGATGGCCTTATGATCAAGTAACCGTTTGTGTTATAATTATCTCTGTTTTACAGAAACAATTGCAACAGAATTTAACATTAAAGGTGCAAGAACAAAGTTTCCAAAGGTACTTTTCAGCATTTTACATAAAGAAATAACAATAGTAAAATAACATACTTACATGAATATATTTTCTGAAAAGCGATATTCACCCAAACTGTAGAAAACAGCAAAAGGAAATGTCAGAGAACTTTCTCATGCTTGAAGTGATGACTCCAGAATGGTAGCATCTCTGATATGCTAGATGTCCTTAGGTTTTTATTCTTCTATTATCCCTCCTTTATTTTATAAAAGAAAATACCAAAGACATCATTTAATGTCCCCTTAATAATTCCATTTTGTTTGGCAAGTTACTGTGTTTCCTTTTACCTGTTCAAGTAAATCCATCCATATTCTTTCTGCCCATTTCCTTCTTTATTTTTGTTTCTCTTCACATGCTGGTCTCTTCCTCCCTGAAACCCTTTTCAAAGATTTGAAGAAAGATAGCAACATCCAAAAGTAAAAACAATGCTCCAGCATTAAATCAGGAGCAGCACCAGTCCTCAGGTCAGCCCACTCTCATGAGCCACCTGAGCCTTCCCAAGACCCTAACATTAGCCTTACCTTCCCTGTTAGTCCCCACAAATGCCACTGAAGAGCTCCTACTGGCACAAAATCTCCAGCCTCCCCTTAACTCAAAGCTCATGGGCCTGTAACAGTGTTGAACTCCAGCCCAGCATCTTTTCTAGCCCCAGAGCTGGTAGTAGACAGGAACATCCTCCACCATAAGCAGTTCTCCTATAGGTGAGGTGCTTATGGTACACCTGAGATGTCCCAGTGGAACTCTGCCAGACCAGGAACTAACCTTAATCATAGCCTTTAAAGTAAACTGGAATCTTTTACAAGCCCCCGAGTCTGTACAGTCCTAAAAGCCCTTCAGCTCCTAAGTGCTTATCCCCAGTTTGCTATATCAGAAGAGGAAGGTGACAGGTGTCAAATAAGGTGGGGTAAGACCTGGGTTCAGTAGAGGCCACCAAGCTATCTTCTGAGCTGGTGTCTCTGTGTGAGGCTGTGAAGATGGGTAGCCATTTGAATTCAACAGCAAAACTTGGGTTGATGGATCAGGCTGCTGGATATGGATGAGCAAAATGGTGTCTTTGGAAGGAATGTTGAGATGGTGCCACAGCCAGTGTTACAGTCGTGGGCACTGTGAGAAAGTGTGACTGACTTAGAGCTGTGCTCATGGCTAAACTCCAGGCAAGCAGTATCCTGCTAGTCAGGGAGCAGATGCTCCATGCACGGAGGTGAGCTGGGCCCTGATAGCATGATTTAAGTAGGCAGCTTGAGACGTCACACTAGGAGTAGTGCTGGTCATACTTTGATCAGGGACCGAAGAATGACTACAGCACTTTTCTCACATGGGTCCTTCCTCCCACTCTCCTGTTTCCAGTATATTTCATCATTCATTGACAAACTCAGGAAAACCTTTTTGCCACAAAATAGTAGTATGGTGTTGCTTTATCTTACATCAACTAGACATTTGATATATTCACATTATGCATTCACTCTAAGTTGATGATTTTGGTAAGCACCACTGAGGCTGAATAACAGTTAAATATCCAGTAGGTGATTATAGTTGAAAACAAAAAGATGGACTGTCCAGGAAAACAAACTGTTACAAGACTGGCCAGAAACTGTGTGGTATGTAGCCTGGAGGGTTTCCCTAACTGACTGTAAAATACAGAAGTTGTTGTTGCAGTTACCTATGGTAGACATAGGGGTGTCAACTAATTTAATTTCCATTGGTGGAATCAGAAATGTTACTCAAGAGAACAGTCCTGGAAGGGGGAGCAAATGACTCCTTGGGTTGAGAGAGGACTCTGACAAATGCAAGCTGGACCACAGCCTACTCCTGTTCCTTAGTAATCTGGTCATGAGAAGAAAGCTGAGCAATATTTTTTCATGTACACATATATACGAATATCCTCATGATAACAGTCCCTGGTAGGAATCTTTCTTTTTACATCTTAAAAGAAATAACCAGAACCATCCCAAGTAGCTCCTTGGACAAAGGAGGGCAGCATTATGCAGTAATTTTCTTTTTTTTTCCTTGCTTGCTTTTAGGGCAATTATAACATTATTTTACAAGGATTCTCTGATGATTCTGAGAGTAATATGATTGTGTGCTTGAATTTCACCATGACAGTAAAACAAGACCCTTTCTGAATGCAACAGACGTTTCAAATAATTCCAAAGCATGAAGGTCCCTTCTGCAAGCAACTGGGGCCTGAGCTGCCAAAGGATAAGCACACTAATTTTCCTGAGGTAGAATACATCATGTACTGTCCGAAAAGCTATGTGATGGATAGTCTTAAACATTTATAGCACTGCTGTAATCAGATGCTCAACGTGCACAAAATCTCTGGGAATCAGACATCCTGATTCATCTGGAGAATAACTGGATGTCAGGCTGAGGACTGCATTTTGGTGCTGTGCCGTGAGTTATGAAAAAGCTGAATCCTTCAAGCTGTGCAGAACTAATACAAGAAGTTTTGAAATGCAAGAATCAGGAGTTTGCCCATACTCAACTTAAAATATAACACCATTTGAATCTGGGAATCCTGTTACGTTTTTTTTTCTTTTAACAATAAAACCTCTTTGTACAATCACTTTGAGAAATGTTTGTTTATTCTCCTGTTATTTTCTGATTATCTTTAGAGGTTTCCCAATGTTCTGCTCCACATGCACTGACGTGAACTAGAGGAGGAACATTTTGTTATGTGGTACTAGCTGATGTGAATAACATCCAAAGTGGAACACGTTTCCAGCTACACTGACCCAGTACAGCTGAATTTAGCCCTCCAGAGCTGTAACCACAACCCTGTAGCATGTTTTTAGCTCTTGCTCAGAGTTTGAGGGGCAGAGACTACACAAGCTGTCTCCTTCTGAAGGAGGACAGTCATTGCCCAAACGGTTTGTCTCAATCTTTTTCTCTGTTACCAAAAGCGTATCTAAAGCTTTTGCTGCGGCTTCTGCCTCTTGGGCAGCCCAACATTCAGTACCCACCCTGCACCCCTGCATATCCACATCCAAGATACTCGGTAAGATTTTGATGGAGTATAGGATTTAGTCCTCAGGAAGAGAGCTAACATCCTTTAAGGCTTTGGGGTGCTTTGGTGCCATTGTGTGGTGAAAGAGCTGACTGGTGCAGCATACAAATACTTCCCTCCTTCAGCCAGGTACCCTTCTTACAACACTAGGATGCCATGTTCTCTTCTCACCCTCAGCCCCCAGCCAGTGGTTCCTTTGTGAAATGGTGGCAGGGCCTTTAGCCCAACTGAAGTGTGTCTACACCAATGCATGCAGCATGGGCAATAAGCAGGAGGAACTAGAAGCTATTGTGCATTGGAATAACTGCAATGTAGTAGCTATCACAGAAACATGGTGGAATAAATCACACAACTGGAGTGCTGCCATTGATGGGTATAAGCTTTTCAGAAGGGATAGGCAAGAAAGGAAAGGTGGTGGGGTGGCCATGTATGTTAGGGAATGCTATGACTGCCTAGAGATTAGTGACAGTGACAACAGGGTTGAGTGCCTATGGGTGAGAATCAAGGGGAAGGACAACAAGTTAGATATCGTGGTGGGAGTTTGCTATAGACCACCTAACCAGGATGAAGCAATAGACAAAATATTCCATAGGCAGCTGGGAGAAGCTTCATGATTGCTTCCACTTGTACTTGCAGGGGACTTCAACTTCCCAGATACCTGCTGGAAATATAACACAGCAGAGAGGTAACAGTTCTGGAGGTTCCTGGAGTGTGTGGAAGATAACTTCCTGACTTCCTGGTGAAGGAGCCGACAAGGGAAGGTGCCCTGCTGGACCTGCTGTTCGCAAATAGAGAAGGTCTCGTGGGGGATGTGATGGTTGGAGGCTGTCTTGGGCATAGTGATCATGAAATGATACAGTTTTCAGTCCTTGGAGAAGCAAGGAGGGGCGCTAGCAGAACTGCCTAGCAGACCTGCCACTTTGGACTTCTGGCGGGCAGACTTTGGCCTTTTAGGGACTTGGTTGGCAGAGTTCCTTGGCAGGCAGTTCTGAAAGGCAAAGGAGTCCAGGAAGGCTGGACACTCTTCAAGAAGGAACTCTTAAAGGTGCAGGAACAGGCTGTCCCCCTGTGTCGAAAAACAAGCCGGCGGGGAAGAAGACCGGCCT